GTGCCGAAAAAATCTCAAACACACACCGCACAACTCTAGCAAGACATGCGTCGGAGGGTCCAGGTAGTGAAGGGACGCGGTCAGAAGGGAATTGTCATGGCAACTCAGGGTGATGTGCGGATGTTTGCATTTTACATCTGTTTGAAAGAAACTGCGAACAAAGAGTCGAGAGTATCCTTGGGCTGTGTGACGCCTGATGAGTGCGGGACAATGTGACAGCTCGCTCTCAACGCTGGGACCCTGGCCTTCTGGACATATTTCCAGCTGGCATGGCTCAGCGGGAATGCTGGCAGCCCGCTAGCCTGCTTCCTCTAGCGCGGCTCCACACTGTGGAAAAACGGCAGCGGACCATCATGGTGAACATGCTAATTTACAGAAAGAATTGTAAAACAATAGCTGTGGGCCCTGATACTTATAGAACCAATAGCGAGGTTGCAATGCAAGCAACTGTGATGTAACAAACTTTGTCAACCGATTGCTCAGTCGCTGTTGCGTCTGGAATGGTCGGGTTTTATTTGAAGCTTGAAGTTATTGCAAACCTGATGACCCTGCATAAGTGGCATGCCAACAACCGATCAACAACGCCGGTCTCCGCCTTTGAAATGTTTGGCGAACGAGGTCCAATCGGCCAACTGGCATCAACACATTGTCATCAAGAAGCCAGGATCCGAACTTTAAACAAGAGCTTCTGCGGCTTTTGAACCGAAAGCAACAAATCCTGGCCTGTGTTCGGAAAGCATCGCTGTTGGACAACCACGCTTCATCCTGCCAACACGAGGAACAAAAGCCTTCTTGACCAGAAATGGTTCCCAGTGTCCTCGTGGAGCTGGGGAGTGCGCTCAGCGGCAGTTGCGTGGCCTCAAGAAGTCAAAGCTGAGACATGTCTTCTTACAGCTTGCAAAATACGCTCACACGAAAGTTTATCATCTGGCCCGGCCTGCTCCTGCTGCGTTCACCTGGGAACGCGTCACAGCAACAAACACGTAGCTTGGCTCACCAGCGTTTACCGAGATCTTTGTAAGCGCCGGTGTGCCATGCTACATGCCTGTGAAATTTGACAGGAAAAACGCATCACTGCCATGGCAAGAAGCATCTATACTTCATGATTGTCAAGAAACAGTGTCACTAATGTGCTGAGGTGCCTGCATATTCGACAGTCCTCAATCCTAAGCCTTAATCCCAAATCAGCCTTCTCAAACTCCCACTGGCCCCTGTAAGATTTGAAAACGCTAGCCTCAGCCATGCGAAAAATTCTGGCAAACTGTTAAACTCTTCTGGTCAGTCCTCTGACCTCATACAATGCAATCTGGGGCCGGCTCTTCTAGCGTCTTCTTTGCAGCGTGGCCCGTGCCTCCGGCTTGTTAACAAGTAGCAAGGCTATTTTTTTGCCCGCCCTGCCCCCCCCCCCCAAGAATTGAGCAGCATTAACAATCAGTAAAGCATCCCATCTCCGTTTCGTCCTCTGCATGCTCAGGAGCTCAGATGAGTAGTACCATATTACGCGAGTTGGCCGGCTACAGCCAAAAACTGTCCGAAGCAACACGCGCCATGCGACGGCATGCTGCAGCAAATGGAAGCTTCTGAAAATTGTTTGCGTAGTGCACATGTGAAGAAGGCGACTTCGTGGCTATACTCTGTGACGAAGACCCCCATTTCAGAAGCACTCCCATGCTCCGATGCAAGGTGTCTGAGAGGCATAAGTGTTTAACCTCAAGATGCAACAAACAAACTTTTGCAAGGAATCTTGCACTGCTGCTCATTGCTGGCGGCTCATCATGGCGGAATGACTCGAACTGGACCTGAAGGGCGCGTCTGGCAAATCTATTAGTGGAAGGTCCACAAGTCTCTGCCAGGTTCTTCGCATCACCTTCAACGACAAGTTTTCTGAATCTTGCCAAGCCACCCCACTCAGTCAGTGGCCACAGCTTTAAGCGCACCTTCCCTTGCAAGAGTCCGACCTGAGGGCGAGTGGCTGCAACACGTTGCAACCGTTAGCAGTGTCAAGCTCATGCTTGGGCTTCGGCAGGAACTGGCCCGTAATGCCTCGAGTCGTGAGATGCCGCCTTGTTGTCGCCCTCAAGCCAAACATGACCGCGAGGGATGAGCACCCTTAGCAGATTCAGTCACTCGGCTTGGCAAATCTCAGAACATCACGTGGCAGGTGGCACCAAAATCAGTGGGCCCCAATTCGACACTACACTTGGTGGTTTTCATATCAGTGCTGATGTTTGAAGTCAGGTCCGGCAAGCAAGCTTCTGTTGGCCGCTAGGCGGCGTACGTAATCCTGCATCGCAGACCCAACTTACGGAGATTCCGTTCCCGAATACCTGGAAATTACAGCCTAGCATTGCGCGCATTGAAGATCAGGTTCTGGACATGGGGATCCTCCAAAGCATAGGCTGGGTTGCTGTTAAGCTTAAATACAGTTACCATAATGGGTATATACAGTAAATAATAGGGTTGCCCCAATGTAGTAACTTAAGTTAAGTTCCTTAACAGCAACCCAGCAAACCCACTCTGAACTCAGCAACATGATGTTGCAGTGAGCACAAAAATCATGAGCAATCATGCTGCGTCTTGGCAACTCCTTGTCGCCGCTATGGCTAGACACCTTGACCTGGGACAAACTAACTGCTCCCCTCCAGCAACAGGGTTTTAGGATTTAGGAGTTGGGCTGCATGCTGCTCATTCCCACGTATTATTCAGTGCTTAGGGAGATTACCCGAAGAATGGAGAATCAAATGGAACTCAGGGAGGGTTATATGGAGGGTTATCAAGGCATTAATGCGGTGCCGCTAATAACTGCCCCCTCCCAAGTCCTACTTCACAAATACCTCCACGTATGGTGCCATTATGGAGAGTTGCTATTATTAGGGCCATGGGGCTTATATGATGGGAATGGGAGCAAAACTTCAGCTTTGATCAGAATGGGAATCTGCGGAAAAGCTCCTGATCATTCTGTCTATACCAGAAATCATCTCGAACCAATATCAGCGAGGGGGTAAGATAATAGGAAACCCTGAGATGAATTTGAAACGCGAAGGCGCGGTGGTATAATAGTCGCTTTGATGATACAGGTATCACGGAAAACTGGCCCCACAGCCTCACATGGATCCTAAACGCTCAGGCCTACTCTAAACCCTAAACCCTAGGCAGACATATGACGAACCACTATGTAATATTGATCAGTACCAGCCACTAGAGAAGACTAGCTGTTTGCCCTGGCTACAACTTGGGCTGTTGTTTTTCTGGGCCTAGGAACTCTAAACCCACAGACACTGCGAAATCAGAAGCCCGGAGCCCTAAACCCTAAATCTTGGGTACTGCCCCCACCCAGTAACAGTCTATATTAGGGGTCCTATTAAGGGCTATATAACCATATTATAACCATTATCCAGCTGTTACTGAGTGGGGGCAGTACCCAACCTAAATCTTAAATAAAGTTAGTTTCCGTTTTCTTTTCCTACAATATCCCTATGAGTCCCAAACCCCACGTGGTAATTTCATCTTTCTTCTCCATTATGAAAAACCCCTAAACCCTAATCCCCTAAACCTTAAACCCTAATCCCCTAACCCCTCAACCCCTAAACCTCAAACCCTAAACCCTAAGCCGCTAAACCCCTAAACCCTCAACCCCTAAACCTCAACCCCTAAACCTCAAACCCTAAACCCTAATCCCCTAAACACTCAAACCCTAAACCTTAAACCTTAAACTCTAAACCCTAAGCCCCTGAACCCTCAACCCCTAAACCCTAAGCCCCTAAACCCCTAAACCCTCAACCCCTAAACCTCAAACCCTAATCCCCTAAATCCTCAACCCCTAAACCCTAAACCCTAAACCCTAAGCCCCTAAACCCTAAACCCTAAACTACCAAGCAGGGGCCCAGACCCTGTCTCCTGCCAGGCCAAGAATACGCTTGCCTTGACATCGGGCAGCCACACAGTCGGTGGAGAATGGGGTAGTTTTAAAGGGATCAAAAAAGTTTTATAGGAGGAGGAGGAGGGGTCATACAGGCATTATATAGAGTTTAGGGTCTAGGGTATTTCCCCCAAGTAGGCTTCATACCAGGACCCTCCCTTGTACCCTTCAAATAGAGGTAGATGGTCCCTGTTTAGGGTATGTAGAAGGTGTATGGAGTGGGTCTAGGTAGGGATATATAGGGATGTAGTAATAACAGAAATAATAGTTATATAGGATACTATAACAAAGTATGTATAGGGGTTATACAGGGGGCTATATAGGGATAATGGAAATGAAAATGGAAACTACAATTTAGGGTTTAAGGCTTCTGACTTCTTGGCAAATGGAGAGGCTCTTGCAACATTGCCAATGCCGTCGGGCCAAGGACGCACCACATCTTTGGGTCGTAACTCTGGATCTGAAAGTGAATTTCTAGAAGGGATGCATAGGGATCCTGGGGTTTGGGTCATTCTTCAACTCAGAACATGGAGCTCCGAAACACGGCCTACATCAGGAGCCGAATTTTCCTTAAACACCATCACCCAATCTTGCGAACAAGCAGCAGATGCGTCCATCTGGATCTTTCGGCGAAGTGGCAACCACAACCTGCAAACTCAACACTTTATAGCACCCACTTGTGGAAGGATATCCATATCCCCTTACTCTAGTCCAGAGTTAGAAGTTTCTTGCCACTAAAGTGCTCAGTATATGCATCTTGCTTATATGAGCTACAGTACATATTTCTTACAGAATTTAATGGACATGGGCTCCTTATTAGGGAATATATTAGGGAGGGGACTATATTCAACGACAAGAGGGACGCCTATGTCCACCGCAAAGGGTCCGTTAATAAGGCGAATATTGACACTAGCTCATATGCACGATTTTGAGCTTTTTGGTTGCACCTTAATATTCTGCGTGCAAGTAACCTCCGAGGAGTGCCTAGATGCCTTTCCTACTGCACCGAATGCTTTGAGGATACCCTACCCTCCCCAAAAGCCACATGGAATCCCCCAAAAAGGGATTTGTAAAGACTGCAATTTCTCAAAATCCCCTCAAGAGACCGTGTTTCAGGCAGCCCTAAACCCAAATACATTGGGATAATGGAAAAGAAAATGGAAGCTATTATATTATGTAGGGTTATATTGGGGTTATATTGGGTTAAGGGTTTAGGGCGTAGGGTTTAGGGTCCTACACCGCAGCCCCGATAGCCTGATAACGCAAATAATGTTGCACTGGCTTTAGTGAAGAGACCTTGAACATGTGTTCTGGCCGCCGCTTATTCAAGTTCACGCTATTGTTGGGAAGACTTTCTTTAATGTGTTTTGGTTTTGGGGCCAAAGATTTTAAAAGACAGCCGTTTTAGAATCCTTCCCCAGCACAGCCCTCACAAATATCCAGAATCCAAATAACTACCGAATCTTGCATCTGAAGCCAATTGGTTGTATTCAACACCCTTTTTCGAAACCTGAAGAATCCTAGCCCAAGACCATCACTTTTAAATCAATCCCCAGAGCCCTCAGCATCGCCGGAGGTTCTGAAGCCGCTATTTGCGATGCTCAATTTGAGATTTTCTGGTGGCCTTCTTGCTAGGGGAGAGAGAGGGGAGGGGGTTATAGAGTTTAAAGAGAATGACACATGACTATAACTTCTCTGAATAGTCATAATTAGCCTCAAACCCGCTGCCCTGAAACAAGGACCTCGCCCCGGGACCAGCCAGACAGTCGCTGCGTCAGCCGCTCATAAAGAAGAACATCGCCCGAGGCATTGAACACTGGCACCTCGTGAGGTTGTAGGCAGGTTAGGGTTTAGGGCCAGAGTCTGGGGCTGAAGGATGTTGCTAGGTGCATTGCGTACTTGGATCCCTTGCATATGCGGTCAGTGGGGATCAGGTAGAGGCTCCTAGTAGATGCTACGCACGGAATATCTAGGACTAAATGTAACATGGGACACGGTGTGGGGTAAGCGGAAACGGCTTCGCCGTACTGCAGGGACTAAATAATTCCCAATATCCTTCTGAGATCTATTTGAGGTGTTCTATTCCATAGTTGGAGCCACAATAACTATTGGTAATTATTGAATCTTCCCTTACTCCTGCGGTATGACATGGGACGTACCAAGTACTACCCCTGAAGTCCCGGGGGCACTCAGGCAAGCGGCTTGCCTACAAAAAAACAAACCTCGAGGCCCATATTGTTTCCAGCCTGCTGTGGACTCTGGCAGCGGATCTGACCGAACTTTAAACCCTTCAACTTTGCCAAGCTTCCATTGATGCCCCAACAGTTGTTGAGAAGTCGATTCCATACTCCTGCATGCAGGAAGATGTTGGTGTGGTTGAAAAACTTAGGGCTCCTTTTCCTTGAGCCCCTAGACCCCAAACCTAAACCCTTTTGGCAACAGGCTTGCGACCCTAAACCCTAAACCCTAAGCCTTAAGTTTCTCAAAATTGTGCCTCTGGAATCCCCCATTGTAAGCCCTCAGACCCTCTCGTACTCTCTATGGATGCCTCGAGGCCCGAAATCCTATACCGTGTGGCCCCATTTGAGCAGCCTAAACTCCTTAAAGGGGGTTATAAAGGGAAATATACAGGGGACGACTATAGGGGTTATTAATGGGAATGCTAGGAATTTAGACTATAGCTCATTTGGAGAATCCCAGTAGCAGGAGACCGTGAGCTTCAGAAGTTCGCGGTTGAGGGCTAAGGGTTCCCAAGTGAGGGGGTCGCGCTGGTATACCACCCCAAAAAAGTAGGCCTTGGACCCTAACTTTGGAAGCCCTACAGTAAGCCCTATGAAAATGTATCTCCCCTTCCAATCCCTACATAACCTATATCCCCCTTTCCAGCGGCTGCAAAAGATATTCTTTAGGAGAATCTCAGGCATATGGTTAGTTGTCAAAATTAT